GGGTAATACGCTCTTCTACTGCACCTGACTCACTGGATTCCCTAATTCCCCAAAACTGATTGTCTGACATCACAGGTCTGGGGGGAGCTACAGCTTTGACTTCCTCTGAAGTCTGCTCAAGGAATGCCCTCTCAGGTACCAGGCCTCCAGCCATCACCTCTCTGTGGGCAGGGACATAGGAGCCTCTGCATCTCGACCAAGGTTTGAGGCTTGCAGTCCCCTCACCCTTCATTGCGTTCACTGGCCTAAAGTCCAGCCCCTGTGCTTTGCTTCTCTCCAAGGGCTGTGACCAGTGTGTGTGTGTGTCGGATGTGGGAATTTTGGTAATATTTCTGTTATTCCAATACATGCGTCAGCTGCCCTCTGTATTTGGTGTTGCTGTGCTCTGAGTGTGAAGAGCTGTGGCAGGGTGATACAAATGGCTCATTAAAGGACTGACTGTGAATAACCCATATCAGTGGAAGACCTTACAGAGACAACAGAAACCCCCAGGACTGGACACTTGACACCTATCAACAGGAGGCTCCCAGCTTGTCTGGGTGGAGCGCACGTGAACTCAGCGTGTTTTGAGGAGCAGGAAGAACTGGGCTTCCAGAGACAGGGAGCTTTCCTGGAACGTAGGCTGGGTCTACACTACGGACCTTACAGCGGCACAACTGTACTGCTGCTGCTGCACTCCTGTGTAGCCGCTCTTTGCATAATTAACTCACCCCCAACGAGTGGCGGTAGCTACGTCTGCGGGAGACACTCTCATGCCAACGTAGCACTGTCCGCACCAGCGCTTTTGTCGGTGAAATTTATGTCAGTCAGGGTGTACTTTTTTTCACACCCCTGACAGACAAAAGTGCTAGTGTAGACGAAGCCTAAGAGAAAGGGACAGACACAGGGAAAGGACACCAAGGCCTTGGCTACACTGGCAATTCACAGCACTGCACTTGCTGCGCTCAGAGGTGTGAAAAAACACCCCCCCTGAGCGCAGTGAGTGCAGCGCTGTAAAGCGCCAGTGTAATCAGCGCCTGCAGCGCTGCACGCTCCCTCGCAGCGCTGCAAGCTATTCCCCTCGGAGAGGTGGAGTACTTGCAGCGCTGCGAGAGAGCTCTCGCAGCGCTGGCGGCGCGACTACACTCGCGCTTCACAGCGCTGCTGCGGCAGCGCTGTGAATCCACAAGTGTAGCCAAGGCCCTAGATGATTGGTACAGCAGCATGACTCAAGAGCATTGCCCAGTATGGATTATGTATTAATCTTTGCTTCTCTGTGCTAACCTAAGGACTTGCTGATGCTGCGTTCCAGTTGACTAGGGCTGTGTCTACACTACAGCCTATGTCGGCATAATTTATGTCGCTGAGGGGTGTGAATAAACCCGCCTTCTCCTGAGTAATGTAAGTTACAATGACCTAAGCGCTCGTGTGGTTTTGCTGCTTGTGGAAGTAGTTTTTTTTATGCCGACGGGAGAGCTTTCTCCCCTCGGCATAGAGCATCTTCATCAGCTATAGCCCTGCACGTATAGACATAGCCTAAGAAACCCTACTCTTTTTGAAAAGGCTGCCGGGTATCACTGCAGATACTTGCTGGGTACTTTAATCCCTGAAGAGTGTAGCAGTCTCTGACCAGGAGTCTATCTCAGCTGGACTTGCTGGGCACAGCTCATGGCGTAAGCCAGGAGAGCTGGAGCCCAGAGGCTCAGTCTCGGAGGCCTTGAGGCTGCATGGCTGACCCTGAGGGAAGAGTGGGGCCCTCGGGGATTTGGCACACTGAAGGGGTTCCTCTAAGAGACTGTTTAAAAGCGGAGGTATAGGACAGACCTGGAGGATCCATGACAGTTGGTGGCAGCTGGTGGGATTCTGAATGCAACAGGAGGATTTTGCAATAAGTGACTTGTAGCAATGAAAACAAGACTAGTCAAAGGAAAGAGGAAGAAAATGGAGTATATCCACCTCCTTAAGAAGAGCATCACAGAGCTGTGCGGTGGGAAAGGGTTAAGTATCGAGAAGTTACACAAGGCTCAGCCGATTGCATGGCTGGAGAAGGATGATCGAATCAAGGTCTAAACCCAGGTGGGATTTCGAGAGAGTCCCAGGGCCACAGAGGCACCTGCAGCAGCAGCAGGGGGACATCCTGACGATCCGGTTCCCCCTTTGCTAGAGCTGAAGCAGTGGGAGTTGGAGCGGAAAGCAAAGGAGCTTCAGATGGAGGAACAGAGACTAGCAGACTGCAAAAGGCAGCAAGAGAAAAAAGGGAAAGATGAGGAGGAGCAGAGGAAAAACCAGGAAGAGCAGCCTCCCCTCAGCTCAACCCACTCTTTAGTGTCAGGCACTTGGTTGTGGTTATAATAAACCAACTAGAAGTGTATTTAACTCATCTTAAGGCAAAGATCCAAACTAAAGGCAAGTAAGGGGATTGGAAACACAAGGTTCTGGATAAAAGAAAAATATAAAACTCAGTCTATAGCCTACACTTATTACCCAGTTCCGTTCCAGTCTAATAATGTATTCCTCCCCCACTGGTCAGGCCTTACCGCACTTGTCCGGTCCAGAGAGCTGGGATCCGCTTTTCATGAGACACTCACACTGGCAATGTGGCCTCTGTAATGGATAACACCTTGTGGCCGTTCTTCTCTTACAGAGTCCCAGGCTTTTGTCTCTTTTCATAATCGGGGTGGTTCATTGTTCAGCCTTTTCTTGGAGTTTGTGACAGAGTGCTGGGAATCAGCAACAGAACCTGCACTCTAGTCATTGTTTAACCCATTAGGCCCTGGGCAGGGCCTGATTAAGAGAGGAACTCCTGATTACCAGATCAGACTGGGACAGGGAAGCTAACAAGCTAATTAGCCCAGTAACGAGATTGGATAAAAGAGCATAGGGAGGAAGTGCAAGGGGGGAGAAGCAGCAGAGAGAGAGAGAAAAGGCTAGTAGGGCCTGATAAAAGGGAGTTGTCTGGAAGGAGACACTTTTCCCCTCCCTATTCCTTTGAGAAGGTGTAGTAAAGCTGGATAACATTGTGGCCATGTCTGTGCTATGAAATGTTGTCAACACAAGTTGGGTCGGCATACAGCTGCCGCATTTAGTACATCGTTTGTGCATGTGCACACTTGGCTCCTTTTGTCCCCTTGCGTATACTTACCAGAACTGCTTGTGTTGATTCACAGTGCGATGCACCATGGGTAGGTATCCTAGCAAGCAACCCGCCACCATTCAGCTCACTGTCTTTTGGGTAGTTTTGGCAATGCATGATGGGGCAGAACAGAGTTGCACGGGGTGACTGGGAGCCAGGGGTCAACTTCCTATAATGCAATGTTCTCCACCCCATAATATCTCTATCCCATAATTTTCACACGTATTTTCAATTTTCTATGACCTTGCGCTGGACTTGTGTTGCTCGGCCATCTCTCACAGAACTATGGAGCCTGTACAGCTCTGCTTCATTTTTCATGAGCCTTGCAAACACAGGACACACGATCCTCCAGTATTTGCAGAGCTGCAAGAACCAGCGTGGGGAACATGATGATTTCTTGGAGGACAGATTGCTGTGAGACACAGCTCAAACCAATTCATGATTGTTGGTTTCATTCACGGAGCAGCTGCAGACAATGGACCACTGCTTCTGGGCCTGAGAAACAAGTACTGACTGGTAGAATCACTTTGTAATGCAGGCTTGGAATAACAAGCAGTGCATGTTTCGCCAGGCCACATTCTGGGGTCTGTGTGCTAAGCTTGCCCCAGCCCTATATTGCCTCTATATAAATCCATGGATCTCATTAAGGGATATTGGCAAATCCCCCTGGACCCGAGCTCCAAGGAGAAGACCGCTTTTGTCACCCTAACTGGGCTGTATCAATTTACCTGGCTGCCCTTCGGACTTCATGGGGCACCAACCACCTTCCAGTGACTGAGGGGTTGCATAGTGAGCTAGATGGACCTATGGTCTGACCAGTATGAGTGTTTTTATGTAATGCTGATAGTGATCCTGAGGGTCCTGCCTACTCCTTCCTCCCCTGGTTCATGAAGCCACACACTGGTCACCTCGACAGCACCAAGGAGAGATTCAGCTCCAGGCGCAGCAGGGCAGAATGACAGGTGAATGTGCTTTTGGTAGATTGAAAGGGCCCTGGCCTTGTTTACTCACCAGATTGGATCTCAGTGTGAAAAATATCCCAATGGTTATAGCTGCCTGTTGTATCCTGCGTGATATCTGTGAAGCAAAGGGGAAAACTTGCCGCAGGGGTAGAGGACGGAGGTGGAGCGGCTGTCTGCTGAGTTGGATCAGCCAGACACAAGGGCTATCAGAGGAGCTCAGTGAGGAGCTACGGCTTAGGGAGGCTTTGAAAGAGCACTTCCATGGT